TACAAATAGTCAATTTAATCTCTCTGTCTCTGATTCAACAAGATACCTTATCCCAGTTAAAAAACTGGTAAGTACTTGTAGTGGGAAAATCAGTCAAATGTTTAAGGTTAAAATGCAAATGAAATTAGTGACATGATGACACTGCATGTGTCTTATGGATAGTTTTTTTCCCCATATCTATTTCCCATGGCACAGCAAATAAATGGACTTGTAATAACTATTACGTATTGACTTAGCATTTACATTAAGAAAATAATATAGTTTTAAAAGTATAAAAATCATCCAAAGTTTATAGGTGCTTACGATAAATAATTTGCACTGCAAAGCAGGTCTTTTCATTTTGAATTTTGTCTAGTTTTTTAGAGGAAAGTTAATAATTTGCTTTGTTTTACTCTTTCATGTGTAAATTATTGCTTCAATTTTTACTAAAAATAGAGTGAGGGCTCATATTTTTAAAAGAGATAATATCGTCCTTGTTTCTGCTGATTAGTTTACCATTTTGTTCCTTGTTCCTGAAAACAGCTATTTAGGCAACCAACATTATATTTCAAAATAGTCTGTCATGACCCTAAAGGAAAGGTTTGCAGTACTAAAATGCAAGTGGCCCACACATATTCAGTTCTGTGTGACCATTTCAAATGTGATGTGTTCTTATTGCCTGCATGTGATTTACAAAGAAACAAGGTTATCCATGATAATCTAAATATCCAAAGTGTACATAATCCAAACATCTATTTATCCCACTCAGAGATGGCAGCTGCCTGTTATTTCCTCCATAGAAAATGACAGATACACCACTGGCCTTCCCAGTCAATGATTTTGTTCCATCTTCTTTGGCAAAAATATATATATTTTTGTAGATCCTTTTGGGGACTATGGGCTTAAGCCAATAGTAACTATGTAATCTATAACAAATATAGTATCTCTTTTGGGTTTTCTTGTTTAATGAAGTCTGGAGGGAAATAAGGTGAAAATAACACAATATTCATTATTCTTAATAATGCAGAGTATGGTAACTATTCACTAAGGTGAGGCTGGAGTACTGTACTAATTCCAATGAGAATTATGAACTATGTCTTTATTCCTATTAACATAACTGACAACCTGTTTCCAACTGCTAGGCATCAAAGTGAACATATGCAACACCCCAACTGCTGGGTTTAATGTTGAATGAATAAATGTTAGACCTTATCTATCATTTATTTGTCTCGTGTATGCCCATGTATATTACAGACATTTTTATTCAATTATTCAGGAATTGGCACATGAGTTGCATTATCTCATTCCTCTGGGTGTCTTACTGAGAGAATAAGGCAGAAGAACAGGAGCTAAGATGTGCACAGTTAAAGTTGTTCATTGGGAACCACGGTGTCATTAAACTGTCCATATCATGTGAGAAAAAAACCTATATTTAAAATAAGCACTAGGTTTTAACACAAACTAGGTTCATACCAATGGGTTGTTTTTTTACTCTTGTGGAGGAAATTGTAGAGTTGAGTCTTAATTTGCAATCACATTCCCATATTCATACTGTGTCAATTGGATAGATATGGAGCTATGCTTTGCTGCAAGTTAAATGTGTATTTATTTATTCGGTAAAATATATAGCATGAGAAAATTAATTGTAAGTGGCTTGGTGTGGTCTAATGGCCTCATCTAGTTCCACTAATATTTATAGGAGTCTTTCCTTTGACTTTAAGGGAACAGGAGCAGCTCCCAAATGAGGAATTTACCTGACCTTTATATAAAATTGATACATTTCCTCAAAATTGAAGTGACTGGCACAAACATGGAAACCATTATGAAAATGAAAACCATGACAACCCACTAACCCCTCAGCCTTGTGACAGCATTAAAGGCAGCAGCAACACAGATGTTTTCAAAGTTTGCGTGAGAACCACATGCTGTTAGGAAAATAAGTTACTGGGCTTGACTGTGTATTTGTAGTTAAAACAGAAGGAATAGTAGGCTGGGTGGGAAAATGCAATTGAAAACAGCAGAAATTATTTGTAAAGGAATCAAGTAGTTTTAAATATTTGGATTAAAAACGTTTTTATTTGGATTTAGTTTTCCAATGTTTGTTGTAATTCTCTTATTTGGGGTCTTCTCTTTTTATTTAATTATTGTAATTGTTAAAAGAGCTGTCAAAAGTCAGTGTTTCTGGTGCTTTAGTGAGTGATCAGTGCAAGATATGAACATTCAGTTTTGGTGCTACTGATTTGATAAGAAGCTGTAAATATTGACTTTTCATGCAGGTAATCCAGTTGCTATGCACATGAGTTTGTAAGTATGTATAATTTAGGGCTTACAATTTCATTTTACTTTGCAAATATAAGTAAAATACAACATGTAACCTAACACTTAAGTCTAGGGAGGTCACATCCCTCAAGTACTAAAGATACTTTCTACCATACTCATTGTCAAGAATCCCTCATGTGCCTCTCCCTTTTCCCTCCCCCCCGGCCCCCCGCCCAGCCATCTGTCTTTCACCTCAATATTCAGGCTGTGTTGTCTGGCCTCTTTTTTACAATGTTTGGGAAAATTCTGTTTCCTGCGATCTCTCACATTTCCATCTGTGATAGCAACAATCAGCAGAGCAGTCACTGGTGATGATTATGCTCGATGCTTCAGAGAAAGAGAAGTTCTAGTGGGAAAGCCTCTGTTTCAACCTTATTTTGAAGGGGACCTTGGGTTGGAAGATTCAACAAATAATCCTACTGGCAACTTCACAGCCTATCTGACCAGTTCAGTTCACAGTCCTGGTTTGATTTCCACCTCTTGGACCTAAACAACAACAGCCATTTTTCTTCAAGGATGGAAAAGATTCAAGGTATGTTTTGGTTTGCTTTTTGGGCATCCAAGACATAATCGTCAGCATTAATAACTTCCAAAGAACATATTCTGGGGCACAGCAGTATTAGCCATCCTATAGATTATACATGAAGATAAAAATTAGCGTGGAATTTTGAAATCACCTGTTGGAATACAACCCTTTGCCAGCCACAAGAAGACATTTGAAGTGAGAGTAGAGCTAATGACAAACCAGCAGACTGAATTTCTTTCTCCACAGAAGAAGAAGTGCAAGAAAAAGACGTGTACATTCCCCATGCTACCTAGCCAATGTATCTGAGCCCTCCTCAGACAGACATAAAATACTGTCTCTTCCCTGTGACCTTGCTCTGCTTGGAGAGTGGGAGCTGGGTGGGATACAAGCTGTCCACGCCCCTTTTAACGAGTTCAATTAAAATGGAGTTGGGGCCAAAACTTGCTGCGCTCCGAACAACTCTCAACGGGGGCAGTGATGGGTTTTGTGTGATCAAAACGAGCAGGATTTGCGCCTTGGATTCCAGGGCAAAAGGGTTTGAATGGAGCCGGACAGCCACGCAAGACATTCGAGTATTATGTGAAGCAGAACTTGGAGACCAGATTTATTCCTCCCTCCAGGTGTGAATGTGAAACCACCGGGTGCTTTCAGACGTGTGTTGGAACGGGGAGGACAGAGGCTTTCAAATAATTTCTTTTGGAAAAAGCAATAGCAGGGCTTTGGTGAAACTGTTTCACTTTTGTGGCTGTAGATGTCGGTGCTTTTCAAAGCTGGGTGCATTGCCATATCAAAGACTTCCGGAGGAGAGACCGGAGGTCAGCGAAAATGCACCCAGCCCGGAGCCCTTTTGAAATACCGACACATCACTGTGGGTCCTCTGTTGTTTTAACCGAGACCTAATTAGCATTACACGGCTGAAAGACAGATGGCCCAATACATACGAATCATATTCCCGTTATATTTACAAGTGTGACATGATTTTCCCATCAAGTTCTTTTTAAATTCTCCTCATGCTTAACATCCTTACGTTTTGGCTTTAAAAGTGTTCTGAGTTCACTGTAACCCAGCTCTGCTTTAGCAGGGGTTGTGTGATGCATTTATTTCCCCCCGCTTTTTATAAGAGGATGGTGATGTCATGGGTAATCAAAATATTTCGCCCATGTGAATGGATAGTGGGATGCTTTTCAAAGGTTTGTAGTTCAGTGATTTACTAGAGAAAACAAGAGGCGAGTCTTTCGCGTGAGTCTTTAGCAATTCCATGCGAAAGTGAAGGCCAGCCATTGAACTTATGAACCAGGGCCATGTCCGAGGCCCTTTTTACTTCTTCTCTCTTTTGTGATTCTTGTCTTTGGACGTGTGAATTCGGCCCTTCACACCTCTTTGATGTGCGGGAACCCTACTGCGAACCGCCTAGCTCTACCTTTATTTTATTTTATTTTTTAATCAGGACTACCGTTTGCACAGCACCTTTCTATAAGTTTTTGCACTGCCAAGGTGGGAAAAGAGCAATATTTCCCCCCCTTTTTTTTGTAATCACAGCGTGTCTTTAAAAAAAACCCGCTATCAGAAAAGGGGCAGAAAGCATTGTATTTACTGTATACAAGCCATACTGAAGCAAAGTATGACTCTGGCAAAAGGCATAAAGACAAGCTAGCAATGATGCTAACGTTATTCACCAAAACCTTCCCACATCCATTTCACTTGAATCTGTTCTGTAACTATGTATTCATTTGACTAATGTCCAAGCCTGGGTCACTTTATATTTTACTTTTTAATAAAAACCAACAGCCATGCTCTAGCAATCAATTCGATTCAGAATTATTCAAAACAAAGCCTGTTGTTCAGAAAATATAAATACAATACAAATCCGGACAAAGATGCTAATTCGGAGATTTGACATTTACCAGGTCAGAAGTCCTTGATGGTATTGAACTATCCGAATAGTGATTGTTTCTCTCATTCAGGCACATTGAAAAGTAGGAGCAATTGAAAATACCTTGTAGTGCAAATGTTAAACTTCTCTGTCAGTGCAGAACTTCTTTGGCTCTTACTCATAGCAACAATCCTCTTAATTTAAATTCGTTGCATATATATTTCTAAGCTAGAGGACTTTGCGTGGTCTTGTTTGACCTTTTAAAAGGATAGAGGCACAAGGTATGCCGGCTACTTTAGCAAAAAAAAAAAAAAAAAAAAAAAATCATACGGCCAATGAGGACATTGGCCGAGAGTGTTTTGACTGATAGTTTTCCCTGATATACCCATAAATAAAATGTAAACAAATTGCAATAACGAGCAATTATATACTGTTACAGTCCTGCATAAAAAAAAATCAAGACACAATTCCTTACGTAGACACACCACAAATATTTCATTGGCAGTGGTAGCCTTAGTGAGAGTAGTAATTTTTTGCTCGGGTTGTGCAGGATTAACACTGCTGAGATGCTCTAAGCATCCTTTGAAGTGTCTAAAAAGCGGTTCCTCATTTCTCGCCAGTGGCTGCTACAACAGCTGGCACTGCAGCATCAGCAGGAGTCTTGGGAAGGAGAGGAGGACCCCGAATTCCTGTCAGGCTTGGCGGGGCTTTGCGCGCAGGGGGATGCGACAGGGGAAGGGACCAGGAGCCCTTCTCTTTCCCGTTTCTTCTGCTTCATCCGTCTGTTCTGGAACCAGATTTTCACTTGCGTGTCACTGAGGTGCAGCGAGTGCGCGATCTCCACGCGGCGGGCGCGGGTGAGGTACTTATTGAAATGAAACTCCTTTTCCAGTTCGGTCAGCTGCTTGGTGCTGAAGTGGGTCCGCACGAGGCTGGGGGGGCTGGGCGCTCCAGAGGCGCAGAGTTTGCCTGCAACACAAACCGCTTGTTCAGTAGCAGGGAGAGCGAGGCACCGCGCAAAGGAGCCGGGTCTCTGGGCTCCAAAGGCGAAGCGCTATCGCGGGCGGGCGCTCCTAGCCCAGGGGGTAGATAAGGACGCGCCCAGGGACATTGCGAGCCAGACCCGCCCGGTTTCGCTCCGAGCACTTAGGGCGCGCGCCCCGCTCCTGGTACCGCGGCCCTGCGCCCCCCGAGGGTTACACTTACTTTTCGTGGGTGCGTTTCGCTTCACTTTCATCCACTCGAAGGTCCCGAGCGCGCCCCCTGCGCGCCCCCCCGAGGCCGGAGAGGTGGGCTTGGGGTAGGCGCCCGGGGAGGGGGAGACGCTCTGGAAGGCTCCCCGCTGGAACCCCGGCCCTGCCTCGAGGCAGGGGTGGAAGGGGCTGTGCTGGGCCAGGGCGCTGTAACCGGCCGGGAGCGGCGATGCGCTCCCGGAGAAGACGGATGTAGCATAGCGCAAGTGGCCCCCGCCGGCATCCTCCACCTGGGCGCTGGCTCCGCGGGGCAGGGCGTAGCCGGAGCTCGGCGGCAGGGCGGCGAAGTCAGCAGCAGGTGGCCCGGGGTCGTAGAGCCCCGCCAGGGCGCAGGGCGCAAAGCGAGAGGCCGCTGCGGGCCGCGGCTGCGGAGCCGGGTCGGGCGCAGCCCCTGCTCCTGGCACTAGCCGGCTGCCCAGGTGAGCGCGGTCACCGCGCAGGGGGCACGAGGGCCGCAGGCCGAAAGCGCTGGGGGCTGCCGGGCAGAAGCCAGGGGGGGCGGGCAGCGCATCGCCGCGGGACAGGTACTCCAGGTAGGAGCTCATGGCCCGGGGCGGCGCTGGGCCAGCGGCCGGGGGCGCGGGGCAGGCGCCCGCTGCTCTGGCCCTGCCCTGCTCCTCCCAGAGCCATCGCGGCGGCGGAGGTAAATATTGTCCTAATATAGAGCCGGGGGCTGGCACGTGCCGCCCGGTGGCCAATCGTAGCCCGCCGTGCAGAGCCCAGCTCAAGGGTGCCGGGTGCTGCTGACTGCTTCCTGCCCCGCCTCCA